GAATTGGCTTTCCTTTGCAGTTCATGAGCATTCAGGTCTTCACCTTGTAAGACACATTTCAGTCTTCATCTGTTCAGTCAGTTATTTACTTCATTAGACTGGAAGAATAATTATTGAAATTGTGGTTAACAATAAGTGATGTTCATTTAAGTTTTAGGGACTTGTGTATAAATCTACAGTCTCTAGGATAGATTATTCTATCCTATCTAATTATTTTATCTTTTATCTTAGGAAATGAAAGTAAAAATTGATACAATTAATTGACGTCAACCTAGAAATTTCACTACATATATAATCTACATGCTGTGCTTTCATCAAGAACACTCAACATCTTAAGGAATACAGAGGTGAGCATAAAAAGAAAAAAACACTAAAAAGTGCTAATGTAAATGACTGCAGGATGCTACTCAGGAAAAAAAATCATCTTAGTTTTAACAGTATTTAAAATGTTTAAAGATTCAGCTCACAAATGGCACTCAAAGAGCACACCCTTCACAGTGCAGTGCTTGTAAGTTATGCAATTTATGAAGGTAGTCGGAGTATATAATTAGGGGAAAACTCTGAGTGAGTTTTTAAATTAAGGTCTAGTCAAAGCTTAAGAACAAATGAATGTTGGGAGAAAATCTGGCTTACGTTTTTTGACCAATAATCTCCACAATAGCAATTGATTAAACCTGACATGTACTTTGAACTCTAAAAACCTTAAGAGTGAAAATAGAAACCCATAATTGAAGCAAATGCACTGTGTTTTTATATACAAATGCACCTGGCTTTTTTCACCAGCATAGTTAAAGTGTATACTGAGTGTATACACTTTTTCATCTAAGTGTATATATATATGGGTACACTTGCAATGGGGCAAACATTTTCCATTGAAAAGCTATATCTCATTGCAAACCTAAATACTCTATTGACAAACTGCTTGGGTAAACCATAGTATATAAGCAAGGAAGCTAATAGGTTTCCATTTATCTATACTCATAGATAAGTTTAGAGAAACTATTCTTTGAGTATTTACTTGTACCTAACACTTTTCTAGCAGCATAAGTGATACAAAGGAAATAGTCTGTACTTCCCTGTACTATAAAAATTAATAATCTTACAGAGGAGTTAAGAGTTACATGCATTATCAAAATAGTAAATAACATCAGTCTATTTATAGGCCACAATGTGTCTTACAGATATTGTATATGGTTTTCAAACTTTAGCGTGCATTAAAAATTGCTCAGGGTGCCAATGAAACATGAAGGTTTTGAAACCACATTTAGATCCAAAAGGGCAGGGAATCTGCATTTTTGTCAAGCACCCAATATTATTTGAATACAGTTGACCCAAGGAGCACCCTGGGTGTGTGCATGGAAAGTCATGGATCAGGGATTTGGGCAAGCACTGGGATTGTTAGGATGGATTTGAGATGAATCTACAAGGTCGAACTTCCACAATAGGTGGCATTTAAAACAGAGATGGCAACCATATTCTTGAAAGAAGGAAAGGTTTGAAGAACACAGATTGGGAGTTAACATTGTAAATATAAACATAAGCATAAGACAGAGACAACCAGAAGGTAGGCCTGAGAGAAGCATGTGGGATAACTGCATAAAAACTAGTTTCCATTCTGCTTGTTGCCAGTTCATTCTAATGACAGTTTCTTTTGCTATTCAGAAGCTCTTTAGTTTAATAGATTCCATTTGTCTTTTGGTTTTTGTTGCCATTGCATTTGGTGTTTAGTCATGAAGTCCTTGCCTATGCCTATGTCCTGAATGGTATTGCCTAGGTTGTCTTCTAGGATTTTTATGGTGTTAGGTCTTATGTTTAAATCTTTAATCCATCTGGAGTTAACTTCTGTGGGACACAGATAAAGCTGGAAACCATAATTCTCAGCAAACTGACACAAGAACAGAAAACCAAACACCACATGTTCTCACTCATAAGTAGGTGTTGAACAATGAGAACACATTGACACAGGGAGGGGAACTTCACACACTAGGGCCTGTCAGGGAGTCAGGGACTAGGGGAAGGATAGCAGGGGGTAGGGGCCTAGGGGAGGGATAGCATTAGGAGAAATACCTAATATAGATGACGGGGTATTATAGGTGATGGTTGCAGCAAACCACCATGGCACATGTATACCTATGTAACAGACCTGCACAATCTACACATGTAACCCAGAATTTAAAGTATTATAATAATAATAACTAGTTTCCACTCCATGTTGCTTAGACAATGCAAGCATCTTGGACAATCTAACTTCTTTAATACTAGTAAGAAACCCTTCATTTCCTCTGTGCTTGAACCTGAGTTTCACATAATTTATAACCATTCACAAGGCTCAATGGCAAACCCCAGAACTACAGTCCCTAAACTAACCAAACCAGGTATCTCCGCACAAATTCTTGACTTGATGATTTAGTGCTTAATGCCAAATGAATAGTCATGATGGTAAACCTCAAATGTAGTACAAGAAGCATTGCCTTAGGAGTCAAAAAGAACTGGATTCAAATAAATGCTTTTGCCATTTAGTACCTGGGATATTTTCCTTTACCTTTTTGAATTTTAGTTTTCAAATCTATAAAATATAAATAATAATGTATATATATAATTTGTATCAAGCTTTGATGATTAAATGAGATGGTAAATATAAACTCTCTGGCACATAAGATAAAACTATAACAATGAATAATGAACAATATTTGTGATTTTTTTTCTTAGTAAACATGTTTCTGAATTAAGGGCTAGTCAAAGCTTAAGAACAAATGAATGTTGGGAGAAAAACATGTTTCTGTAAAAACCATGCTTTAAATGAACTGAATCATGATTACGTAATGGTGTGATTCAGTTTAGATAAAACATAACATAATTATGATATAGTAAGATTTATGATTTTCTGTACAAAGAAGAGGTGAAATTTGACAACTGTGACTAATTTGTCCTAGGCATAGAACTAGTTAAAATGTGACGTGATTTGAAGGGTACCTTAAAATATGTATCCAAGGGGCCCCAAAATCTCCCTTAGAATTTCATTCACCAGTGACTCTTAAAGAGACACGCGGCTCACATCAGTCATTCATGTTTAGTGTAAATTATTATATTAGATTTTTGTTCATTCTATGACAGTAAAGAGAAAACCACTGAGGAATAAGAGGTTGGCCGAAGGTAAGGAGAAAGTGAGGCCGTTTTGTAATAATGAACACTCACAGAAGATTCAGCTGGCTAGAGTCTAGACCCTAAGAATAGGGTCCTGGAGCCTTCCTTTGGTGAGAAACGAGAACCTGAAGAGAGAAAATAGGGCACAGAAAGGAGGGACTGACAAATGTCAAATGCTTTTCCCTTAGCTTCCATCTAGTTTAAGTTCCCTGCACATAGGCTCTCATTTCCTTTAAATGTCACACAAATGCCTTTTCATTTTTTGGTGTCATCTCACAAAGTAAAATCCTCTAAGATGAGAAAGTGAGGTTCACATCACCTCACCAGGTAGCTGAAGGAAATCTGAGAGCAGAAATGGTTTCTTCAAAAAGTAGTAGTAAAAAAAGCATGAAATAGAACTGTACAGGGTGTTAATGGAAAAAATAAGTACTACGACTGGTTTGAGTAAATCAGTTTCTTTAATTTTTTTTAACACTATATAGTATTGTTACCTATTTATTATCACTTACCATTTATTACTAATATCATTTGTAATTATCCTGTCTTTCATCTAAGAAATTCAAGATATAATAAGACTTTCTGGTTTGAAAACTTATTTTTCTGTTTACTATTCTGATTTCCCTGAATATGCGTAATAGGTCTTCAGAAATTTAAATTTTTTACAGGAAAAAAATGCCTTCTCATTTACATTAATATGGTGAGTACTGGTGAAAGAATTGTTTTCCTTAATGGAAAAAGAATGCAGAGTTATATTAGTATGAAATTAGAAATAAGACCTAAATGCTAACTGTAGAATACATAAGAGTAAGGCAATTATGTCAAGAGAAATTGACTCTAAATTCTAGTAGGGCTGGGAATGTGTGTTGTTTATATCTAAAGCTAGGTAGTAGTTGCTAACTTGAGGTTTACTGGATCATCAATTTATAACACAATGTGAAACAAACCAGGGTCCCCATCACTGAGGGTTTTCAAAATACATCCTCCATGTCACTGTTGGAACAGTCTCCATCTTCACATGTGCTCATGCACACACACACACACACACACACACACACACACACACACACACGCATACACCACTTGAATGGCCCTAAACGCTCATCTGTGTGCAGATTCCCTGATAATTATGTAGTCTGTATCAGCACAACAGATTCAAGTCAAGCCTGTGAAGGTCTTAAAGTGGAGGGTTTATATAACACTTTATGGTTATTTTGGTTTCCTATCAAAAGAGACAAGAGGGCCCAAGAAATACACAGAACTTTGCTTTTAAACAATGGGGACATTTGCTATAAATTTGGTAGAAGGTCATTGCAATACATTGTCCAAGAGGACCCTTAAAAATCCATCTCTAACCAAAAAAGTTTCCCTTTCACACTGCCATACACTGAAATTCCAACTATTGGAGTTTCTATTTCAATGTACACTCTGAAGACATACTTCCTCAGAAAGGGCCATGGAGGCTGCCTGTGGAGACTCACTCACGGCACCGTGACAGTGTGGTAACCACTCCAGGCAGGGAGTCTGGGAGTTAGAGGATATCAAAAGGGGTGAAAGTGCCTCATTGTGAACAAATGACCAGCTTCACGGTTTTGCCTTCTCCAAGGCTTGTCTGGTCCGTATTTCAGTGAATGTGATCAAAGAAAGCAGGGAACGAAGTTTTTTCTTGAAAAATTAGAGGAGTAAATGGTCTTTGATTTCTCATGAACACTCTTCGGCTTATGTCTTTGTGTTAATTGTGATAGTAAAACAATAAAAAACAAGATTTAATTTTAACTTATGATGGTCAGTCTAGGGCAGTGAGTGCAGGTGATGGAGCTGGAAAAATATTAATCCAAGTTGGTTATTTAACATCTGCCTTATTTGGAGGAGGACACTATTGAAGCCACCTGCTCAGAGCAATGAAATTCTTCAGTTACATTTTGATTTATCGCCGGTTTCTCCTTGTGGCTTTCACCGTGTTGGTTCTACTGCCCCTGCCCATTGTCCTCCGCACCAAGGTGAGTGAACCTGGAGAACAGACTGGTGGATTTCCTGACTTATTTAGTTGTCCTTTATTAAAACTTTCTGCTATTTAACTTCCTGGCTCAGAGCTGAATGAGTGTTGATACTAATGCCTAAAGTCAGTATGGCTGTACATGATGTTTTGTCCATTTTCTCCCTTTTTAATAATTAACATTGGTTGATTCTTAGTATGATTAAGCATAATTAAATAGAATATTCAATCAGAATTGTTCTCTGCCTATCAACTAGACGAGAGGAAGAACAAAAGAAGCACAACCCTTGAGACTTTGCATTTCAAGTCGTCATTCTCCAGGGAGCATTGCAGGGCTAATGCAATCCTTTAATTCCCCTGAGAATAGGCAGCAAAGCAATTGCTGGGGACAGAGGTAGAAGAACAAGGGAAATCCTAGGTCCGGCACAGACTAATTTACTTGTCAGCTGTGTGGCTTGGTCACAGAACTTCCTGGAAATTTAGTTTCCTCCTGGTAAAAGACAGCATGGAGTAATTTTCCTTGGTGAATCAGAGAATCTAATAAATCATGTACCATGTTCTGATAATTTCAGGTTTTCTTTCATTGGGGTATATTGTAAGCATCTTTCAGTTTGCTTTTTAAGAGTAGTCAGTCTATTATGTCTAGAAGAGTAAGCTCAAGCATGTTTAATTTCTTGGTAAAATGATTTGAATCAGCAAACATTTAATGAGCACCTTCTCTGTGCCAGGCACAAATGTCACTTGGTAGTAAGAGGACAAGCTTTGGAGCCAGATTCTCTATTTCGGGTCCCAGATTTACCACTTACAAACTGTGTCACCTCGGCATGTTATTTAACGTCTCTGTGCTTTTGTTTTTTCATATGAAAGATGGGGATAGTAGCAGGCTTGTTGTGAGAATGAATAAACACTCATCAAACACTTATTTGGAGCAGTGCCTGGCACACAGTAAGTGTGCAGTGCCAGTCTCCCTGGGTGTGTTGACTCCACAGGTGGGGCAAGTCCCACCACTCCATTATGCACAGTCCCTCCTCTTAGTGGAAAAGAAGTCTGCTGATGCTGTCCTCTAACAAGTACTAATCAAGGTTACACTAGTCTGGGTTAGAATAGAATCATATTAACTATAATATGGTAGTCCCACCAGCCTCTGTCAGAAGGCTTTGCCAGTGATCTTGGGATCTCTGAAGGGAATTCATGTGAGCTAATGGAGTCCTCTTGGGCACTGTCAAGGCCTCCTGTACCTGCAAAACTGGAGAAGGGGTTGGCCCCTGCTGTGGAATCTGTGGGTTGTCTCCCACCAGGTATACTCTTCCAGCTGCAGCATCCTTGGCTGGTTCTATCCTTGTGCTGAGGTCTCACAGTGCTATGTGAAGGGAGGGGAAAATCTCCCCACCACTTTTGGTCCAAAATTCTTCTAAGCCCTCAAATTCTTGCAGAATTTGTAAATAATAATAAAAAGAACTAGTCAGTTGTTTTTGGCTTTGTTGGTTTTGTTTTTCAAATTCTGCATGACTAACCCTTCCCTTCCCACCTTGCCATTCCCACCCCAGCTACTTGCAAAGTCTCCTATATGAACCTCTGGCAGCTGCATCAGATGACAAATTCCAGCACAGACACAGGGCTCTATTCTGAATTCTCACTCCATCTCCCTGCTAAGGACTTCAGCTAAGACACATCATGACCTTCACTTTCCAAGTCTCCTGGTCCCATGAGTCCTCTAGATTTGGCTGAATCCTATCACAAGCGTATCCTGGTTCATACCTAGAGCCCTGCTATATTTTAATATTTTTGAGTCAGTCTCAGCATAGGTTCTAAAATAGAAAATTAAACTAGTCAAGACAAATTTAGGTCATGACTACATGTCATCTATGCTGCTCTTTTGACAAATAAATGCATGACAATTTGATTGATTTTTAAGAGTACTCAGTCTATTATGTCCAGAACAGTAAGAACAGTAAGGAAATAGTATTGACCACTGAAAAGAGTAAAAATTAACAAAATAGTCAAAAAAGAACAAATTTGCACAGAGAATAATTTTCAGAGAAATGAATATAAACTCTGAAAAATAAAATGAGTAAATAAATCAAAAGCAATCATTTCAGCACATGATTCGCTAATGGGGAAGTGTATTATCTTTAAGAAATGCAGCCATTGATTATCTTTCCCGAGGTGCTATGACAAAGTACATTAGGTCCATGCAGGAACCAGGTGCCTGGCACCAAATTGCATCTGGTGAACTAGGTTCCTCTTTCCTTTCCTTCTAATTAACTCATTTGTTAAAACTCAATTAATGTTAATGGAGAATTTATTCCTAGTACAATAATATAATTTTATTTTTTGGCCACTTTAAACATATATTTAATCATTCAATCAACTGCTAATTAAACTGAAAGACTATTATTTTAACTGTTGCTTACAATGAAAGCAAAATCTTTTTTCAAAGAATGTAGGTCTTTGGAGGGTATAAAATTTAAGGAGAAGCTTACTTTAACATAAATGCAAGTCAATTTACTGTTACATTTTAGGTTACCAAACTGGAGAAGCCTATACTTCTAAAGACACAATACTAGCTTAACTAAAACCTTCAATGGAAACAAAAATCCAAGTTTGTCTTTCAAAACCACAATAAATCTACAGGATGTAGAACCAACAGACAATGAATTATTGACTGATTACTTTCTTTCATTTCCTACTGTTTACTGAGTCGTTCAATAGACTGGCCTTAACTTCTGTCTTAATTCCATCTAAAGTCAAAAAAGTGTCATGAATGAAGACAGACCCTAAGTGGTTTTTCAATGTACTATTAACAGAGAAGGAGAATAGACTGATTTGCAGAGCATTCTTCTGTTTCGGGCGTTCTTCCAGCTGCTTTCCCCAAATTATTTTATTTAACTTCCATCACAAACCAATAAACAAGTACATATGTTCTTCTTGTTTTACATTTGAGGGAATTGATGCTCAGGGACATGTAACTCACCAAAAACTACCTACATGCTCTAGAAAGTACATTTCAGCTTGGGTCCTGTCAGAACTCAGAATTCATGCTTTAACAGTGGTTTAATCTTTTGTATATTTTTGAAGATTTACTCTCTCATGGCTTGTTAATCATTTATCAACAACGTAGGCATTTCTGTTCATGAAAATGCTTTAGACAGGCCAAACAGAAGATTGTGTTTTAACCATTCCCTCAATTGACCTCATGGTACTCACATCATTAAGGTAGAAAGTTACAGTGATTCTAACCACTGAAGATAGCCTTGTGAGAGAGAACTGAAGCAGTGGACTGCTCTCATAGGAATGTCATTTGCTGGGTGTCCCAGAGCCCCAGCTATTTAAGCTGGTCAGTCATCTTGTCAGGATATGATGTCCCTTTTCTTCATATTTGGGTACAAACTAGAAATAGAGAAAAAAACAGGAAAGTAGCTTGCAAAAATCTGGCTGCATAGATTTTTCCAACCAACTTCTGTCTGACTCTAGAGCCAATGATGTTAATCACGACTGAATATCTGTGTCTTTATAGCTTCTATGGTCATAATAAATATATTCATAGTACCTTGGTGTGAATCTCACTTTGATAATGAAATCCTGTTTTCTTGCTGATTCACACTGAGCATCAGAAATTCTTTTTGTTTTCTAAGCGTAATGGTAATCTCAGTCCTTACTCAATTAGTAGTTAATGATCAGTAAACAAGTCTGGAGTATAATTGCTTTTTATTTGAATGAAATAATCACACTGAGTTTTTCTCATTTTTGGAGAAAAATTTCTTTAAACATTTCCAGTTAAAATCTTGTTAAAACTGGCCTAGTCTATCTGCCATAGTTCCAGTAATATTCTCTGTGCACCTTTGTTCTTTTTTGACTATTTTGTTAATTTTTACTCTTTTCAGTGGTCAATACTATTTCCTTACTTATTTTTCCAGTTATTGGCTTTTCTTTGTATTTCTATTTGTAAAACAAAAAAAGATAAAAAGAAGGCCAGATTTGTTTGAGAGTAAGAGGAGGAAATCAAAGAATGCATTATATTTGCAGAGCGCAATTCTTCAAGGTATACCTATTCCGTCCAGCTTACTCATTAATTAGGACCCATCTTTAGGATCAGGAGACAAGGAAACAACCACACAGGTATTGAGCAGCGTTTCTTAGTTGATGAGTTGTAAAACCAAGACCAAATTTCAATTCTTTCTCTAGAAAATATTTTAGATTTCTCCAGAAAATGTTTTATATTCTAACTTTGAAAGTCACGATATATTCACTTGAAGCATCATGAGTTTCAAAGTGAGAATAGAAATAATAATAAATGAAATGATACATAATGAGAGACTTATGGTGGTAGAGCTAAAAATAAAATAAACAGATGGAAGAAATATAATGATTCTAAGGAAATATAAACTTAAAAAGTGAAGCATCCCCTAGAAGGAGGAAGTGGTAAGTTAAGAAGTCTGTCAAAGAAAATCAAAATGAGTGGGAGAGAATTTCAAAAGCCTATAAGTAAAGGAAGAGGAGGAGAGAAATTCCAAGAAAACAGAAGTAAGTTTTAAAAGGCTAAATAAAATAATTAAATATATTAATGGAAAAAATTGATACTGTTTTAAATGTTGGCATAAAATATTTTAGAGATTTAAGATAAAGAAGAAAATGCTCTAAAGTCCAAGTAAGTGAATATTTTAGACACCAAAGAGTGCAGAAATGATGAAGATCAAGGAAAAAGAATAGAAATCATACTAATAGTAATGTGGTAGTTCAACAAAGCCAGAAAATCCAATTTTGATAATATATTTTTATTTCACAAATATTTCACAAGAACTTTCCAAGCCCAAAGTGTTGTGCCAGATGAACTGTGTGATATAAGCAGAAGTTTAATGTTTCTCTCTTTAAGTAGCTTGCAGCATTGCTGGAAAGTCATTATATAGTATGACAAACATGAATGGCAAAAGAAGAGTGTATGTAAATGCATGCCAAATAATTTAAATAAATCATTTGTGCTATGAAGGCATAATTAAAAAGTGG